CTCTGAGGTACCACATCACATCTACCAGATTGGCCAACATCGTAAAACAAGAAAATGATAAATGTTGGAGAAGATACGGGAAAATTGGAACACTAATGCAGTGTTGGTGGAGTTGTGAAATGAATGATCCTACCATTTTGGAGAACAATTTGGAACTATGTCCAAAGGGCTATAAAAATGTGCATACCCTTTGACCCAGCAATAGCACTTCTAGGGCTATATCCCAAAGAGATCATATAAATGGGGAAAGGACCACATGTATGAAAATATTTATAGCAGCTCTTTTTGTGGTGGCAAAGAATTGGAAATTGAGAGGATGCCCATCAATTGGGAATGGTTGAACAAGTTGTGGTATATGAATGTAATGGAATACTATTGTGTTATAAGAAATGATGAGCAGGCAGACTTCAGAAAACCTAGAAAGACTTGTATGGTCTGATGCTGAGTGAAGTGAGCAGAACCGGGAGAATGTTGTACACAGTAACATCCACATAGTGTGGTGACTAATATTGATAGACTTAGCCCTTCTCAGCCATGCGAGGATCTAAGACATCTCCAAAGACCTTGTGATGGAAAATGCTATCGACATCCAAGGAACTATGGAGTTTGAATACAGATTGAAGCATACTATTTGCTTTTTTTTTCTTCTGTTGTGTTTTGTTTCCTCTTTCTGGCGGTTCCTCCTATTGGTTCTAATTCCTACTTACAACATCACTAATGTGAAAATATGTTTAATAGGAATATATATGTATAGCCTATATCAGATTGCATGCTGTTTTTAGGAGGGAGGTGGGGAGGGAGGAGGAGAAAAATTTAAAACTCAAAAGTTCATGGAAGTGATTGTTGATAAATCAAAATAAATTAATAATAAAAAGGGGGCAGCTAGATGGCACAATGAATAGAGCTCTGACCTTGGAGTCAGAAGGACCTGAGTTCAAATCCAGCCTCAGACACTTGACACTTACTAGCTGTGTGACCCTGGTCAAGTCACTTAACTTTTAAAAATTTGGACTTCTCTCCAGGAAGTCACATCCCAAAATCTTGTACTCTGAACTTGGTGAGTAGGTATTTAAAGGGAAACTGGATTCTAATGCTAGTTCTGAGATCAACTCATCTGTGTGATTTGGGCCAAATCCTATCACCTCCTTTAGTCTCAGTTTACTCATCTATAAAAATGAAACAATTAGATTAGGTCTTTTTTAAAGTTCTTCCTTTTTCAAAAGATCTGATTCTATATGAAGGGATGATATCTAAAAAATAAATTAAAGAGTGAGAGAGGAATGTACTGGGAGAAAGAGAAAGGAACAGGTAGAATGGGGTAAATTATCTCACAAAAAAAGAGGCAAGAAAAAGCTTTTGCAGTGGAGGGGAAGAAGGGATAGATGAGGGGGAGTGAGTGAACCTTACTCTTATCAGAATTGGCTCAAAGAGGGGATAACATACACACTCAATTGGCTACAGAAGTCTATCTTACTTACCCTAAAGGAAAGTAGAAGGGCAAGGGGATAAGAGAATGGGGGGGGGGGATAGAAGGGAGGGCAAACTCAGGGAGGAGGGAGTCAGAAGCAAACTTGAGAAGAAACAGGGTGAAGGGAGGGGGAGAGAATAGAAATAAACAGGGGCATGAGGGATAAGATGTAGGGAAATACAGTTAGCAACAGTAACTGTGAAAAAAAATTTTAAAGTGAGTTTCTCTGATAAAGGCTTCATTTCTCAAACACATAGATAACTGAATCAATTTTATAAAATAAGAATCATTCCCCAGTTGATAAATGATCAAAAGATATGATCAGTTTTCAGATGAAGTAATCAAAGCTATCTGTAGCCATATGAAGAGACACTCTAACTCACTATTGATTGGAAAAATGCAGATTAAAATAATTCTGAGCTACTACCTTATACCTATTAGATTGGCTAATAGGACAGAACAGTAAATGACAAATACTGGAGGGAATGTGGGAAAAACGAGACTTTAATGCATTGCTGGTGGAGTTATGAACTGATTCAAACATTATGCAGAGCAATTTGGAACTATGCCCAAAGGGCTATAAAACCATGCATATCCTTTGACCTAGCAATACCACTACTAGATCTATATCCCAAAAGAGATTTTTTTTAAAAAGGAAAAGGGCCTATATATACAAAAATATTTATAGCAACTTTTTTCTGGAGTTTAAGAATTAGAAGTTGAGAGGGTGCACATCAGTTAGGGAATGGCTAAACAAGTTGTGGTATGTGATTATGATGGAATACCATTGGAGTATAAGAAATGAAGAGCAGGATGCTCTTAGAAAAACCTGCAAAGACTTGCATGGTGGACTGAAGTAAAGTGAAATATACTGTGTACAAAGTAATAGCAATATTGTAAGATGATCAGCTATGAATGCCTTGGCTACTCTCAGCAATACAATGATCCAAGACTGAAGGCCTTATGACAAAAAATGCTCTCTACCACCAGAGAAAGAACTGTTAGTGTCTGAGTACATATTGAAGCATATTTTTTTAACTTTTCTTTTGAGTTTTTTTCTATATTTTATTTCACAACATGACTATGGAAATGCATGACTACACATGTATAACCTATGTGGACGAGTTTGCCTTCTCAATGGAAGTGGGAAGTGGGGAGGGAGGAAGGGACAGAATTTAGAGCTCAAAATTTTAAAAACGAATGCTAATATCTGTCAGTCTTATGAACAAACTCTTCCCCAGATGCCAGTACAACCTCAGCACTTACTTGGTAGATCTCCCATTGCAACTGTCCCATGTGGCTTCTCAATGTAAGCTGCTGATGCCCCTACAGGCAATGTTCAGTCTAAAAAGGGTAGGTTGGAGGAGTGGGAGAAATGTCCCAGAATTCCTTCATCTCTGCCAAGAGGTAAGGAGCAGCTCTCATACCTGTTCTGACTAGCTTGGATGCAGTGTCCATAAGAACTCATCCTTAAGTTTCTCTCATGTACTATATTCAATTCGACTGATGGATGGTGGTGGTGGTGCTGAGTGGTGGTGTGTGTGTGAGAGGGTGTATTTGTATTTAGAGGCTGAGTACCAACCTCAGGCCCTCCGGCTTTTCCTTCCAGTCATGTGACTCCTTACTGCTCCTTTGCTTCCAGCCTCCTTTTATTGATCTCACACATGACACCCCGTTCAGCTTCTCACTACACTAGAGGAGAGGAGGTGAGAAAGTAGAGAGCAGGGGGGCAAAACTAATTTAAGCCTCCTCCCACCCATATTCCAAAATCCTGCTTAGTTTTAAAATCACCTTAAAAAAGCTTGGAATTTCCCTGCTGACTAATTTGATCTTGTAGTTCTCTAAAACAACCACAAGATGTCAATATTTAAAATTTTAAATCTCTTAGTTCTAAAAATGAATTCGATTAGAATTTTTTCTTTCTTTTTAAGCTTTTATTTAGAATTTTATTTTCCCCCAGTTACATGTAAAAACATGCATCCAAGCTAGTCAGAACAGGTATGAGAGCTGCTCCTTACCTCTTGGCAGAGATGAAGGAATTCTGGGACATTTCTCCCACTCCTCCAACCTACCCTTTTTAGACTGAACATTGCCTGTAGGGGCATCAGCAGCTTACATTGAGAAGCCACATGGGACAGTTGCAATGGGAGATCTACCAAGTAAGTGCTGAGGTTGTACTGGCATCTGGGGAAGAGTTTGTTCATAAGACTGACAGGTATTATTTTTATGCAACTAGGATGGTTCAGTTTGTTTTCACTGACTTTGAAATAAACTTTTCATCTTTGATCTTTGTGAGCTAGGTACTCCTAAGAGGTGTTGGTGATAGCAGGCTAGATGCTGTTAGATAGGAAGATTGAAAATTATCTGAATGGAGGTAGGAAGTCAGAGAAGCAAAAAACTGTACCTGGGCCCTTCAAAATTGACATGGTGTCTGGAGGTAGGAGATGGAATACAGGAACAACAAAGAGGCCCAGTTTGACTGGACCTGAGATTATAAGTGGAATAGTGAAATACGCTGAAAAAGGTAACCAGATTGGAGTCAGTCTTGAAAGATTCAAATTACAAACTGAGGGGCTTGTATTTTTACTCTAGAAATAACAAAGAACCAGAGAAAATTTTTAGGCAGGAAGGTGACAGTCAGATCTGTCTAGAAATCAATTTAGAAGAATTATTAAATTCATTGACATAAAAAACATTAAAGTCAGTTTAGAAATGTTCTTTTGGCTGCTGTGTAAAAGAACTGGAGAAGGGGCAGCCAGAGCCTGGAAGCCAGGAGTCTAACTGTAGTTGTTATAATAGTCAGGTGGCAACAAGAGGTCCCTGAACCAGAGTGGTGGTTGTGTGAGAGATGTAGTGGAGGAAGAACCTACAAAACTGATGGGAAGTGGAGGGTGAGGGAAAATGAACCTGCGTGTTAAGACACTGGTCAACACCCATCAGCAAACTCATGTGCATTCTCTTAATGCAGCTTCCATACTGGAACAAAACAAGGTGCTCACAAGTCATTGAAAAGTTAAACAGGAGGTTTGCTTTTCCCTAATACAACAAAGATACAATGGCAAGAATCTGCCCCACTCATCCTATGAAAACATGTCTGGTCAGCAGCTCAGGGTAAGATGACTTATGATCTTTGGAAACCCACTAAATCAGAGAGGCCAACTCCATGTGGGTGGGACATGGATGGATGGATTTCTCTCACATGACAATTATGTAGTTGCTCTCCAAGGAATGGTACTTAAGGTTCTTAGGTAATGTGCAAATCTTTTGGGTAGGTTAAGTCAAGGTGGGCAACAGAAATCTCTAGGCACCTCACCAATGTTTCAATTGTACAGTAGAGATCTGAAAAGGAAATCCTCTCCCCTCTCAAGCAGTTCAGCTACAGCAGTTTCTATTATACTGATATATCCTCAAAAGGTATTGGCAGAGATATTTTGAAAGGAGTTGTCAAATACAGTCTTATCAGGCAAAATTAAATCTTGAGATTCCTGTAACATTTCTGATTTCCATTATTAGTCAAGAATAACCAATTGGATATCTTCAAATAATATTTATTAACTATCTAGATGTATACAGCACAAGTGACAGTTAACTGAAAAGGTCATGGTTCCTGTCCACTAAGAGCTAACAGTCTAAAAAGAATCCATTCAAAGAAGAATGAAAATGTAGCCATCAATCCTTACCAACAAGTCTGACATTATAAATGCAGTAAACGCCCATATCATTCCACATAGCTTTCAAAGAGCTTTTATAGTTCATTTTAAAAAATCTATTTCCATAAGACAAAAAACGTAATTAATTTCATTAAAAAACAATTCTATGTGTTAAAAGCATAGGCCAGAGGAGAGAGTTTTTGTCCAATAGATTATGGTGCATCTGTGCTCACTGCTTGCTCTTCTGGAATGGTCTTCTCTGATGAAGGGTTGGGTCTGTCCAACATAATAGATGAATGGTCACTTGGATCCCCGGTACATAAAACCCAGTAGTTTAATGGTTTTTCAGATTTATGAGAGTCTAGGTGTGTGTGACAAGCAACTTCACATTCTTTTCCAAAATATGTTCTGAGGAAAGACAAGCAAAAGAACTACCTAGTCAAATAAAAAATAAGCTTGAACATTTCACAGTGAGTCAAAAGGAATGATTAGATATTACAGTAAGGTGCCATGGAGAGAGTTGGACTGGTGAGTGCCCACTCTGCCACTTACTGCCTTGGACAAGTCATTTCACTTATTTGAGCCTCTACCTTCTCATATCTAAAATGGGCATATTATTACTTATACTACCTGACATAAACAGAAGATCAAATCAGAAAATGTATGTAAAATGCTTTGGAAGCAGTAAAGCACTACATAAATGTGGGTTACTATTATACATTTGAAAGATAATATAGTCTAGTACTTCGAGGACCAGCCTTGGAAGTTGGAAGTCCTGTCTCTGAGGCATACTAGCTGTGAAACCACAGACAAGTGACAACCTCTCAGTGCCCTAGGTAACTTGCAAACATTATAAACTCATGACCTTGATGAAATCGCAGGTCTAGAACAAAAGAAAAAAATATTAGAAATTTGAGCTATTAACTCAAAAATCAATTCAACTCTGAATTCATTTGCATTATATAAGTAATATAGATATATGTATGTATGTGTGTATCTATCTATCTATATACATATGTATATATTTCTATAACATATATAGAAGTAAAAAGTTTTACAAGGTCCTAGATTCTCAGAGAGGTTTAAAATAACTGTTAGCACAGCAAGAAAAAAATTGGACATGATTGTGTCAGATCTCAGGGAATATCCTATGAGTGACAAAAAAATGTTCATTTCATCAAATTCTTGTGCAATGATATCCCATTATTAATGGATTTTTTATCATATCCCATTAATACACTATGATCATACTCCTAAAAGACCCTGACCAGCATAGTTTTGCAATGGTATCATCAGGATATCATATTCAAACCCCACCATAAAACTGTCAAAACCTGCTTGATCATCATTTAGCCCATCTTTCTGGGGGGAGAGGCAGCTAGGTGGTACAGTGGACAGAGCACCAGCCCTGGAGTCAGGAGGATCTGCGTTCAAATCCAGCCTCAGACACATAATACTTCTAGCTGTGTGACCCTGAGCAAGTCACCTAATTCCAATTGCCTCACTAAAAAAAAATCTTTCTGTCTTACTAACTGTTCCTTTGTTAAGTCATTTCCCCTAATGCTAGGTTTTCATTGAATTAATTACCAGTGTTAGGTGGGGTATACATGTATTTAATTCAAGCAACTCAACAAACATTTATTAATCCCTTGCTGTGTGCCAGGCCCAGTGCTAGATGTACTGGAGCCACCAAAACAGAAGAGTTGCTGGCCTCAAGGGGCTTATAGTCTACTTTTGTTTGTTACTCATTTTTCAACATCAGGAGTACCTTAGAGAGTATTTCCTGTTAGCTGCCAGTGCTTGGTTCGTATGGCAATGCTTGATAACGATCTTAGTATTTGCCTGGAAAAATAAAACAAAGTGTTATTTAAGTACTAATTAAAGAACCCTTGGTAAATCAGGCCCCTGTAGGACATTTATTGTTCTTAATTAACTATGTAAGTGAGGCCATAATAATTCAAACAATATTAATTGTGATACGTTGCAACTATCACAGCAATATTTCCATGTGCAAAAAGGATGTTAAAGTTTTATTACGGTTTTTTTTAGGAATTGGTATTTTTTTTTTTACTTTCAGGTAATTCTAGGCAATAGGAAAGAAAGCAGCATGGCATCTACATTCATAAGAGACCTCATTCCATCCCATCTTATCCAGTATATTGCCCTCTCTTCTTATCCATACTCTTTCATTGATCTTCACCATGTCTCTTTTTTTCTGGCTGCTTCCCTGCTGCCTACAAACATAGCTATGTCTTCTCCATCCTTATCCATCTATCCCCAGTATCATCCTATATCTTTCCTCTCTCTTTTGGTTAAACATCTTGAGAAGGCACAATTAGTGCCTCCGTCCACTTCCTCTCCCCTCACTCTCTCCTAATCCCTCTTAAGTTTAGCTTCCAGCCTCATCATTCAACGGAAACTGCTCTATCCTAGTTACCAAATGTTCTATGAAGTGCCAAATCCAATGGCCTTTTCTCAGTCCTCCTTCTTCTTGGCCTCTCTGCAGCCTTTGACACTGTTGATCACCCTCTTCTCTCTAGGTTTTTGGTTCACTGTTCTCTCCTGGTTCTCCTTCCATCTGACTCCTCTTTGCTGGATTTAGGTCAAGCCCACTAACTGTGAGCTTGTAGTGGCCAACAGTGGGTATCCTTCTATGCTATTTCACTTGGTGTTCTCATCAGCATCCCTAGATTTAATCCTCTCTATTCAGATGACTTGCAGATCTCTTTCTCCATCCCTAACCTCTCTCCTGACCTCCCTGTCTAGCATTTCCAATTACATATTGGACATCTCAAACCAAATGTCCTTCAGACATTTAAACTTAAAATCAGCATGTCCAAAACTGAACTCATTGCCTTTCCCATAAAACCCTCTTCTCTTCCTAACTTCCTTATTACTATTGAAAACATCGCCATCCTCCTAGTCACCCAGAATAACGACCTCGATGTTGGCCTTTACTCTTCACTCTGTCTCTCACTGCCCCCTCCCCCCGCTCCATCTCTTTTCTTATTTTGCAACATATCACATTCTCTCCTCTGACCTTACCACCACCCTGGTGCAGACCCTTAACCTCTCATGCCTAGACTTTTACAATAGCCCACCGGTTCGTTTTCAAGTCCCTCCTCACTCAAGTTCATCCTCCCAGCTGTCAAAGTGATAAGTACAAGTCTGACCCTGTCACCTCTCCATTTAGTAAATTGCAATGCCTCCCTATCACCTCTAGGATCAAATACAAAATCCTCTTTGTCTTTTTTTTTTTTTTAGGCAATTGGGGTTAAGTGACTTGCCCAGGGTCACACAGTTAGTAAGTGTCAAGCGTTTGGTCTGAGGTCAGATTTGAACTCAGGTCCTCCTGACTTCAGGGCCAGTGCTCTACCCACTGTGCCACCTCACTGCCCCTACCACCTAGTTGCCCCTGTTTGTCTTTTAAAGTCCTTCATAACCTGGCCCTCTCCTACCTTTCCAGTCTTCTTAGGCCTTTCTACCTTGCATGTATTCTATGATCCCGTGACACTGACTTCCTTGCTGCTCTTTACACAAGACACTGAATCTCCTGTGCGCTTTCACTGTGTGACCCCATGCTTGGAATTCTCTCCCTCTTGGCTCCTTAGCTATTCTGACTCCTTTCAGGTTCCAGCTGAAATCTCGCCTTCTACGAGAAGCCTTTCCTAATCTCCTTTAATGAATGCTGACGCCTACCCTTAAGATTATCTCCAATTTCTTCCTTCTATAACTTATTTGAATGTGGTTGTTTGCTTCTTCTGTCTCCCACTAGACTGAGCTCCTTGAAAGTAGGGACCGTTTTTTACCTTTCTTTGTATCCTCAGAAGCTTAGCACAGTACCTGACACACACAGGAGGCACTTAATAAATGCTTGTTGATCTGACTTGACTTGATAGAGTGATGAATTTGGAGTAAGTAAACCTGAGTTTAAATCCCTGTTCTAACACTTACTTACTGTCTGACCACAGATGCCATAAGACACACAATGTCTCTAAACTTCAGGCCACTCTCTAAGGCTTACTTATTGTGGAAGCATGTTAAAAACTTCCTTTTTAGCTGAACTGAAGATACGAAGAAGTAATATTTTCTCCAACCTAAAACCCTTTCAGATTCTTCCTTTAGGAAAGTGGGTCAAAAAAAAAAAGGCTAAAGTCCTAAGAAATACATTGTGAGTGGGAACCAAACTCCTAAACACAGTATTTCTTGTCTTATTGAGATTCCAGTCTTCGCCTTCCCCAGAAGCGATTGGTCAGTGACCTAGCCAAGGGAAGTGCCCTTCTGTTGTTCAGAAAGGACCCTTCCCTTCAGTGCTTGTGGAGAATGGTCTTGGAAGGAACTGAGTGGTGACTATTGTTCTGGAATGTTAACCCAAAACTTTATTCTAACCTATTGCTATTTCCCTCGTTTACTATTCTTACAAATGTTACTTCAAAGTATCTTGTGGCTGAGAGATGTCTAAGGGCATGAGGAAGAATCGGGTAAAGGAGAGGAGGAAGACTATACTAGTTTGGACATCTCTCTTTAAGATGTGGCTGGATTTAGAATAATGTAAAATTAATAAAAATTGTTTCTGACATTCTTGCATCTAAAACACAGAGTACAGTATTGCTATCTTTTTCTTCACTACTAAGTTATGGGCATGATAGATTCTTCCTATTATAGAAAAGGAACAATACACAGGCCCCAACTAAAGCGAACCCTAATATTAGAAAAGCTGAAGTAAACCAACTGGGCTAGACAATGTCTAAGCCACCTCCCTGAAAGTTCTATGACTGTGACTAAAAGGTGATATGGCAAAAGCTAAACAGGTCAGAATTGTTTCTTACTGCATTTATGCAAAGCACAAAGGTCAGTCAGGTCACAACATTAGAGATTAGGCTTGGTGCACAGAATTAGAAAAAATAAGTTTTATTTTCAGGAACTGCCCAAGACAAGATGGGGGTGTGTGTGTGTGCACACGCCTGTGGTTGAGGAGGGGAAAAGGGAAGGTTGGATCACATCATTTCATGTGAAAAAAATCTGGAAGTGTTAGAGTACCATAAATTCAAAACAAGCCACCAGCATTATGACATTATGTTAACATGATGACAACATCCGTAAGAGACAGGATGACATAGTGGATCAAGTCAAGAAGAACACGGTTCTGGCAGAATGAGCATCAACTCTAGCCAGAGGACCTGAGTTCAGACTCAGCTCTGCTACTTGCCACCTGTGTGACCTTGTGCAAGGCTCTGAGCTCCTTGAGCTTGATTCATCTGTAAAATGAGGGGACCAGACTAAGTGACCTCTGAGCCCCCACCCCTTCCAGCTCTAAATTTATAATTCTGTGACGTGGGTTCAATACCTGCCCTTATGGGTGCTAACTGTGCAAACCAGGGCAAGCTGCTCAGCCTCTTTAGACGGCTCTCTGTGTTGGCATGTAACAGAGATGTTCACAATCTGCATTGGCTGAGGGAGTTTTTAGACCCAAAAGTTCCTAAATTAATTCTTATCTGTTTTCATTACAGCAGATAATGAATGACCTTTACAATGGAAATACCAGAACAAAAATGACTAACACAAAGTTAATACCTAAAATAAATAAAAAGACAATGGAACACCTAGCTCTGGGAGCGAGCAGGGGACTATCTTTCTGCCTTTCTTTGTACCCCCAGCTCTGAGCACACTGCCTGGCATAGAGTTAGTCAGCAAGCATTTATTAAGCACCTACTATGGGGTAGATAATGAATGTGCTAAGTAAGCATTGAGGATACAAAGAATGGCAAAAACAGTTTCTGCCCCCCAAGAAATAAAGAGTTTTTTGGAATGGAATCTCTCTATTGTTACTTCTTGGGTTTTATTATTATCACATAGATATGCTGTTTATTTTTGTGAGTTTATTTTGACAAAACTTAAGGAAAACTAGAAAACCTCTGACAGAAATTAGACTTAGACAAACATGTTACATCATCTTCCACAGTACATTCTAACTGGATATGTAACCTCAGTATTAAAGACCATACTATTTAAAAATTAGAGAAGCACATCACATACCTCTCACAGATACAGCAAGGAGATTCTTAACCCAATAAGATATAAAGATGATTACAAACAATAAAAGAGATTACTTTGATTATGTGAAACCAAGAAAGTTCTGTACAGACAAAATTAATGCACCTATTATAAAGAGGGAAGTGGTTGAATGGGGAAAAACTTTTCCATCAAGTTTCTTTAATAAGGGTTTGTTATCTAAGATATATAAACAATTAATAAATACGCATAAGACTAATAGCCATTCCCAGTAGATAAGTGGTCAAAATAGCTCTCAAAAGAAGTATTGCAAAAGTATACACAACCACATAAAAGAATGTTCCAAATCACTAAATAGTAAAAGAAATACAAGTCAAAACAACCCTGAAGTTTTACCTCATACTGTGCAAATTGGCAAAATTCACCCCCAAAATGACAATAGTCAATGTTGTAGGGGTAGTGGAAGGATAGACACACTAATACATTGTTGGTAGAGCTGGGAAATGGTACAACTATTTTGGAAAGCAATTTAGAATTATGTAAATAAATTGACAAAAATGTTCATATTAGAGACTTTATTACTAGCCTATACCCCCAAAAGAACTATATATAAGAAGGAAATCCCCATATACACCAAAATATTTACAGCAGCACTTTTTTGTGACAGCAAAGAATTGCAAATAAATCAATGCCTATCAATTGGGGAACAGATACACAAATTGTGGTATAAGAATGTAAAGGAATATTATTTTATTACAAGAAATTAAGCATGTGATGAATAAAGAGAAAAATCTATAGGAACTGGAAAGATCCATATGAATTGATGCAAAGTGAAATAGAGCCAAGGAAATTACATATACAATAAATACAACGATATAAGTGGAAAGAACTATACACCAAAACTCAAAAGTGAACGTAATAAAATTTAAAAGATCAAGCTGAACTCAAATGAAAAGATATGAAAAGATATCATGAAACTACCCCCTCATGGAGGTGGGAGGTCAGCAGGTGTCACTTATTGCATGTTTTTAACACTTTTCCAACGTATCCATCAGTAGTGTTGATTTATTTTCCTCTTTAAAAATATCATTTGTTATGTGGGATGGCTCTTTGAGGAAGGGTAGGGGAAGTATATATGAAATAACCATGATGACGTAAGAAACAGAAGATTTATTTTTTAAATCATTGGTAACTATAGAGAGAGCAGTTTTGGATGAATGATGAAATTGGAAGCCAGATTATAGAGAGTTAAGAAGAGAGTAAGAGATGAAGAAGCAGAGACAACTTTGTAGCCACAGATTGCAGAGGTGATATGAGATGATATCAGGGATGGAAGGATCAAGTGAGATTTTGTGGAATGGGTGAGATATAGACATGTTGGAGGCAGTAGGGAAACAGTCAGTAGACACAACGAGATTAAAGACAGGTGAGAGAACTGGGATGACAGAAGGAGCAATCTGCAAGAAGAGATGGGATACAATAGATGGGATAGCTTGTGCAATTAGAGGATTTTGACTTGGCCAGAAGTATGGCCATCACTTCATGTGAGACAGGGGTAAAGAAGGCAATAGTGATAGAAGATATCTGGGTGATAAACATGTGATGAGGAACATTGGGGTGAATCTACTAAGATGAATTTCAATAGGGGTATTGAACATGAGTATAAAAAATACCCCTTCTCAGGTACAATTTGAGGAAAGCACGGTTAGACAGCAATTGTTCTGCAAAAGATACGGCAGCTTTAGTGGGCTGCAAACTTAATATGAGTCAACAGTGGGAGGTGATAGCCAAAAATGCCACTATAAGCCCGAGCTATATTAAGAGGGGCAAAACTTCTAGAAATAAGGAGATGATGGTCCCATTGTCCTCTGCCCTCATCAGGCTCCTCATCTGGAGCACTGTGTTCAGTTTTGGGGAATCTCAAGTTAAGAACAATATAAGCTGGAGAATGTACAGAAAAGGGCAATTGGGATAGTGAAGGGCCTTGAGTCCGTATCATAAAAGATGCAGTTGAAGGAACTGAGCATGTATAGTCGAAAGGAGAAAAACTCTGCAAGGGCATAATAACTCTCTTCAAGTATCTGAAAGACTGATATGGGAAGGATGGATTAGACAGTCTGCTTGACTCTAGAGAAAGAAACAGGAGGCATAGGTAGAAACTGAAAGAGGCAAATTTCAGCTTGACATCAGGGGGAAAAAAATCTTCCTAATAGTCAGAGATGCCCCTAAGTGGAATGTGTTATCTCAGGAGATGATAGTTTTGCTCTGATTAGAGGTCTTCAAGTGAAGGTGGGACAACTGCTTCTCCGGTATATTACAACGGGGATTCTATTTGTGCATGAGCTAGAGTAGATGGCTGCCAAGGGTCCTCCTAACTCTCAAATTTTTTGATTCTGGGAAATCACAGTTCCATGCCACTACTACCACCCTCCTGGGAGAAAAAATAAAAGTCATTCTTACAGGAACTGGAAAGCCTTCATATTCAATGCGCAGCTGAGGATCAAAATAAGTAGCTTGCCAGAAAGTCAAATAGGTGAATTCATCTGTTAGGTAAACATCCTGAAGCCAAGACTTCTTCGCTGACTTCATCATTGTCTTATGGTCACTTCCTAAATATAACTGAAAAAGAACAGAGAGAAAGTGGAGTGAGAGTCAAGGTATAATGATTCTAGACTGTAAGCTCTTTGGGGGTAAAGACCATGTTACTTCTCTTCAGTCATTCCTTGTCGTGTTATGAACATATCAAGCTTACAACAAATGCTGTTGAACAAATGAATAATACGTCTCTAGCCAATCTATCTGCCGCCTGCTTTTCTGATCAGGTGGCCATGCTGATTGTTTGAAGCTATCCTTCATGGTATCTTTGTTCTAGCACTAGAAGGGACCTCAGAGGCCATCTAGCCCAAATCCTTCATATCACAGATGAGAAAATTGAAGACTGGGAATGTTAAGTGACTCACCCAAGGGTCACACAGGTGAGAAGCATCAGAGGTGGTACTGGAACCCAAACCCTCTGATTCTAAACCTGTCTTCTTTCCAATATGCCATTCTACCTTCAAAGTACCTTTAAAGAAATTCATATCTTCTGTACTTACAGATTTCCCACTTCATCTCACTAGTAAATAATTCCAATCATTATCTGGCTGTTATTCCTGACCACCACCACTCCCCAATATATACAAATACATCATGCTGAGCATTAGCCTAGTTCTATTTGACTGGGAACAAGCAGGATGAATTACTTCCATCAAAGACTTCATCCCTGGGGCAGCTACATGGCCCAGTGGATAGAGCACTGGTCCTGAAGTCAGGAGGATCTGAGTTCAAATCTAGTCTCAGACCAAACACTTGACACTTACTAGCTGTGTGACACTGGACAAATCACTTAAGCCCAATTGCCTAACAAACAAAAACAAAAAACCTCATCCCTGGTGATGTTGATGTGATGTTTCAGTATGGCAGACAGCATACCTAGGGTAGGTCTACACATAGGGTGGACATTACCAATTGCTCAGGAAGATATGATCACACTGGAGTCATAACATGACAGCTTTCTGTGTCAGGGAATGTAGATCTTAATCAAATCTCCTCAATTCAATTGAATAGACCTTTATGCTTACTGCACATGTGTAAGGCATTCTGCAGAATTCTGGGGATGCAAAGATTACAAAACAACAACAACAACAACAACAACATTGTGCCTGTCCTCAAAGAGATTATAGGTTTCTAGGGTGGTACAACACACACACACACACACAGAGATATTGAGCAGTAGAAAGGGCAGTCTTTGAACCTGGGTGGGCCAGGGTGGTCAGGAAGCCTGTTGGCAAGACACCAGTCCATGAGTCCTTATTGATTATGGGGAAGTTAATTTAATTACCCTCCTTGATAAGCAATGACAACTCTGCCCTAAATCTCAGCCAAACTAGTTTCAAACACTGGCTTTCAGAAACAATTGCCCCAATTATCTGAACAAGTGGAGTCTGGGAAGGCACAAACTCACATATATATGTCTTCCATAAGACATATATATGGCTCCTTCCCTACTCTACAAGAGACAAATAAAAGAACTGGAATTTGTTTAGTGTTTCATTTTACAAACTGTTTTTTCCCACAAAACCCTCTGATAATGCTATGATTGCCCCTCATTTTAAAGATGAAGAAACAAGCTCAGAGAGTCTAAGTGATTTGCTCACAGTCACACAATTTGTAATTTGGGAAGGCTGTGACTCCAACTCAAGTCTTATGACTCCAAATGCAATGTTCTTTCCATTATGCCACATTGCCTCTAAATAAATAGGTCTTTCTCCAATGCAGTTTTAAGGGTACATTATTGTATTTTACAAAGCTAGAAGAGAAAGATGAACAGAATGTATTTAAGCTAATGTCAAAATGTATTGAGGCCACTAATAGAACTTTTAATTCGCTGTTTGGTTTTCTGTTCATTAGGCCATTCTAAAATACTGATTCTGTATCAGTATTTCACATCCCTTCACTACATCCATGATCTTATCAAGGGGGACACTGCTTCCAAATGAATAGCTAGGAAAAAAATCCACATTGTCCATCCCATGAGACTCTCACCAATATTCTTTTGTAAATCCTTTCAACATACTTCAGATCTTTCTCTAGGTCTCTTGAAGTTATATGGGGACTTGGGAATTAACAGAATAAACCTAAGCATACATTCTGATTACATACCATCTTATCATCAAAGCCAGCTGTTGTTGCAAGACCAAAATTCTGCCCATATCTTATAGGTTCACCCAGTGCATTTCCATCTAAGCTATCAAAAAAGAGAGAACAAAATGTTAGCTTTTGTATTTGATTTTACATCTCCATAAATATATATGTCTGTGTCCGTCTTTACTCATCTTTAATATATGACACAAGCTGTAACCTAGGATACCCCTGAATATAGGATAGCTAGGATATTACTGCCCTTGAAATGAGATCCCTTTGAATTTCAAAAATATACCTACTGTGTGACAAGTCACCCTGTTTGCCTCAGTTCTTCATCTGTAAAATAAGCTGGAGAAGGAAATGACAAACCATTCCCATATCTTTGTCAAGAAAACCCCAAATGGGGTCCAAAAAATCAGACACACCTGAAAAAAACTGAAATAAATTTATACTGAAAAACTATATAAAATTACCATCATTTTAAGTGACTTTCCCACGCTTATACAGTAAACAGAAGAGGAATTCAAACTCAGGTCCTCTTAATTCCAAAACCAACACTTTTTATTGCACCATACACTACCTTCTTCTATAGTAAAGTATTACTATCAAAGTTCAACTTGGAGAATACATTCTACCATAAAGAAATTAAGTAAATGTTATAGTAATTGGATTCTGTATGAAGGTTCCTGTACTTAACACACACCTCAATTAAGGATTAAGCCTATCTGGCCAGGTATACCGAGCAGCTCACTTCCATCCTAATTTACCTAGGCAATTCCTATAACTATTAACACATTAGAGGCAAGAATGAGAATCATGCATTAGGGAATGAATAGATGTCCAGTCTGGCTGAACTGGAGGACTGAAGCTTGATCCTAAGTAGCCTGTTTATAATGTTGGGCTAACAGCTTTGGCCTTAATCCTTTCTTTTCTTTTTTTTTCTTTTTTTGTCTGGACCTGTGATTTCATTAGTGTAGGGACCTCCAAATGAAGAAAATTCTTCTATCTAGGCAAATACATAGCTTTCCATAATGTATGGTCCTAGAGAGTTGCCTGGGAGAAATCATAGATCGTAAATATCAGGCCATAAATTCAAATCCAGATCATTGGAGTCCAAATTTAGTGTTCTTTCTGTTGTATTATGCCAGTCTTGAAAGGCTATAATAGAAGGAACAGAGATGGCAGTGTCTGGGCCCTTATGCTATATTAACTTTCATTTGGGGTTCTTCTATAAATCTGGTCTTCCTTTGTTTCATATAGTCTCTCTGTCTATCTAAATTGTAAGCTCTTTGGAAAAAGGAATCATAGTTTTGTTGGCTCTCCATCTTGCTGTGCAATTAGGTACACAAAGTACACTCACTGACTAATCAATCATTATGAAAGAGGCTTTTGTGGGGAAGCCAAGGCATGAGTGGCAAAGTAGAGGATGAAGTAAAAAAATAGATGAGTATCAAGAAAATGTCAGCTTTTGTAATTGCAGAATCACTGGGTCATGCTTTGTCCTTTGATCCCCCTCTCCTGGGAGATCCTGGAAAATGCTAAGTCCTTGATGCTTTATTGTCAAGTTAATGCACTGTAGATGCAAAATGAAACACGTATTTTCAAACAGAAAAAGTACAACACAAATTTGTTTTGTTTGACTCTTATTCGGGGAAAAAGAAAGAAGAAAGTCATGATAGTGATGCAAATAAAGAAAGAAAATGGCATCAATGAAACATTTAAAAATACATAGAAGAGAGAAGAAAGAAGCTCAGAAGGAAATAGACAAGCCGAGCAGTGTTGCAACTACTCTGATAAATTTAATAATTATTTTTAAACCAACTTTATGTAATAGATTCATGGTTTTAAATACAATCCTCTTTTTCTGGGCTTTGAATTTGGAAGTGTTCATGTTTATTGATGTTGTTTTAGTTTGCAATAATTTTTTGATGTTAAATCCTATAATACCAATACTTATTACTAAAAGAAGGAATGCTAGAGAAATGGTTCTTCTGCCTCGTGGACTGTCATAATGGAGGCAAATGAGGTCACTCTTTAAATTTTTTTTCATTCATTTTGAACGTAAATACAAAAAGACACACAAAAAAGAACATTTCCACGTACAAAGCATAACATAAAAAGGATTCAATGTAAAAACATGAATTTTCATTTCACAATTTATTTTTTCTATTACATAATAAATATCACTCATCATGACTACTCTGATTTTTTGTGCTTCCTTCTAAGTTTTCTTTTATTCTCCAATGTACACTTTTTATTTTTTTCTCCCTCTTTGTCCACCCCACTCTAGAGAAGGCTACCATTAGACACAAATATGTATGTAGGTATAAAACCATACTACATACTTCTATTTATCAGTTCTTTCTCTGGAGTTCCTTCTCTTCCTTTGTAGATTATTTGAGTATTTATGATACTCAAGATGAATGAGTCATTCAAAGTTGTTCTTATGACAATATTTCTGTTACTGTGTATAGCATTCTCTTGGTTCTGTTCATTTCACTTTTCATTATTTCATTTAAGTCTTTCCATGTTTTTCTAAAATCAACCAGCTCATCATTTCTTATAGCATAGTGGTATTCCATCACAATCATATACCACAACTTGCTTAGCTATTCTCCAATTAAAGGGCATTCTGTCAGTTTCCAGTTCTTCACCACCATTAAAACATCTAAGTTCTTTTCCTTTTTCCCTAATCATCTTGAGAAACAAACCTAATAGTGGTAGTGCTGGGTCAAAGGGTATATACAGTTTTGTAACTCTTTGTGCATAATTCCAGATTGCTATCCAAAATGGCTGGATCAGTATACAGTTCCTCCAACAATGAATTAGTGTCGCAATTTTTTCACATCCCCTCCAACATTTGTCATTTTCCCTTTTTATCATTTTAGCCAATCTAATAAGTGTAATATGATATCTCAAAGTTAATTTAATTTGTGTTTCTTTAACCAATAGTGATTAAGAATATGTTTTATGTGACTATATACAGTTTTGATTTCATCACAAAATTTCTGATTCATATCCTCTGACCATTCATCAATTGGGAAATGACTCATATTCTTATAAATTAGACAAAGTTCTCTATATATTTGAAAAATGAGACCTTTATCTGAAACACTATCTATAAATTTTCTGCTTTCTTTTTAATCTCGACTACATTGATTTTATTTGAAAAAAAACCTTTTTAATTTAATCAAAATTACCCATTTTATGCCTCAGAATGTTCTCTATCTCTTATTTATTCATAAATTATTCTCCTATTTTTAAGCCTGATAGGTAATATGTTCCATGCTCTTCTAATTTCTTTGTAATATTTCCTTTTTTATTTAGGTCATGTAACCATTTTGACCTGTCTTGGTAAATGGTGTAAGATATTGGTCTATGTCCAATTTCTGCCAGACTGCTTTCCAGCTTTCCCAACAATTTTTTACCAAATAACAAATTCTTATCCCAAAAACTTAAATCTTTACATTTGTCAAACATAAATTATTATATTCATTTACTACTATGTATTATATATCTCATCTGTTCCACTGATCTACTTTTCTATTTCTTAGCCAGTCCCAGATAGTTTTGATAATTACTGCCTTATAATATAGTTTAAGATCTGGTACTGCTAAATCACCTTCTTTTACATTTTTTTTTCATTTATTTTTTAAATTCTTGACCTTTTGTTCTTCCAAATGAATTTCGTTATTATTTTTCCTAACGCAATAATAAATATTTTTTGCAATCTAATTGAGATGGCATTGAATTAAATAGATTAACTTAGGTAGAATTGTCATTTTTATTATATTGGCTCTGCCTACCCAAGAACAATTAATATTTCTTCAATTATTTAAATCTGACTTTGTTTAAAAATGTTTTATGATTGTGTTCATATTGTTCTTGGGTTTGTTTTGGCAAGCATACATGCAGGTATTTTATACTGTCTACAATTATTTTAAATGGGGTATCTCTTACTATCTCTTCTTGCAAGGTTTTGTTGGTGATATGTAGAAATGCTGATGATTTATTTGGGTTTATTTTACATCCTGCTGCTTTGCTAAAATAACTTATTATTTAAACTAGCTTTTTAGTTGAATCTTTAGGATTTTCCAAGTATATCATCATATCATCTGCAAAAAGAGATAGCTTTATTACAAATGAGGTCACTTTGAAGGAACTCTCATTTATCAACTGAAGAGAAGTTGCTCCATGTCCCCTGCTTCCTTCCACATACTAGCAAAGTTATTCTAAAAATTAGCAGAGCACAGGGACAAATAAACAAAATTGTTATATCCTCAAGACAGCTCCCTCACCTACACAAAGAACAAGAACTGGGGTTTGTAGGTCCAAAGCAGAAGTTCTTAACCTTTTTGTCTCACAGATGCCTTTGGTAATCCATTGAAGCCTATGGACCCCTTCTCAGAACAATGCAGTTTTTTTAATGCATAAAATAAAATACATAAAAATTTTGAAAGAAGTCAATTATGTTGAAATAGAATTATCAAAAAAAAATTTTTTTAAAGTCATGGACTTCAGGTTAAGAACTCCTGGTAAAGCATGGGAATTAAGACTAGTTTGGCCAGTGTATACAAATTAAATCTAAATAGGGTAAAAGGGTATTTGTAAATGGCTGTAAGGGTTGCTTGAATTTGCCATTTTCCACTGCCATTGCCTCAATGGCCATATGCATCATGTTACTGTTTTTAAAAGCACTTGTCTTCTCTTGCCTCCAGACCTTCTTCACCCAACTCTTAAGCAGCTCTCAGCTCTGCTCCTACTTTCATTTACCCAAATAGTCATTTGTTGAAGTGGCAGATACTTCCAAATGGGCCACTGGAGCTATACCTTTCCAAGAATAAGGGTCCCAGAATCTGTTCCATGTACTATCTACTTTCACCATCTAATCAATGAACTATGATATTTTGGACTGAGTGCTTAGGAATCAGATCCACCTTTGAAAAACAAGGATACCGGCTAGAAGGCATACAAAATCCAAATGACATTTAATAACAAAAATGTTTTACATGTTCATATTTCCCATTATCTTTAATCAAAGTCACTTCCACCCTTTAGAACATCCTTAGGATACAACTTAAAATTGTATGCTTATTTCCAAGATAAAGTAATAAAGTGTTTCTACCTTAAAATGATAAATGTGTTTCTGCCAATTGGGCTTACACCAGGCATAGCAGTCACTTCACAGGGCACCTCTATGTCATTACTTATGTGTGCTTTCATTTCTTCTGGAGTCACTGACAATGCTAGTCTGCCAAATACAACTTGGCCACCATGAGGATCTTCACAGTCAGGATTAATAACTAATACTTTATCTCCATAATGAATAAATCCATCTTCGGTAATAGAAAGCTTTGTCTATAATATTAAAAAAGCAAGAGAAATAAAACCCCAAACCACCACTAGCAAAAACATCTAACATTAAAAAAATATACTATATTTCTAGCATGCCCGACTTCCATAGTTCCCCCCCTTTCCCTTCCAACAATGCTGCCAGGCCTGGGACACAATATCTCCAAGGAGCTGCCTAGTAACTAAGAGCCAAGACAAGACCTTGAAACTTCTACTCACCTGCCTTCATCAGCAGAGCTCCTCCTAGACACCAATATTCTGTCTAGGATAACTCTTCAGTCAGTGGTTGGCATACTCTTGCCTCTTCCTACTCTCCTTATCTCAGCAGACTGAGAAACCGTGATTGCCAAAGAACTAATTTCCTTCTCTGACCCCTATTACCTCGTTTTCATTCACTCTTCTTGGTCCTTTCAATCTTAGTGCCTTCTCACTGAGATTATGTCTAATTTATCCTGTATATATCTTGTTGTACATAGTTGTTTGCATGATGCCTCCCCCATTAGACTATGAACTCCTAAAGAACAAGGACTATGTTTTTGTTTTGTTTTAGACTTTTTAAAAACTTTCTTTGTATCCCCAAAGCTTAGCATAGCGCCTGGCACATAATAGGTACTTAATAAACGCTTGTCAACAAAACTTGACTTGACCTTAATCCTCCCTCTCCCCCTCGCTAATGATGTCTTATTCTAGATCTGCCCACCCTTTCCACTGCACCCTCTGGAACTCTATAATTAACAACCTTCTTTCAATTTAGACCTCTTCTTTTCAGGCTCCTTTCATTGTCTACCACTCACAGAGAACTGGTTACCCATGGATAACATTGTATCCTTGGCCATCCTTTCTAGTACTAGTTGTATCTTCTATCATACCCCACCCCAACTCACTGGTTCCAGGTGGGAAGTCTGAATATTCCTTGTTCCTCATTGCCGCTTACAGAGTTTCTTTCCATTGCCATCACTCAGCAACTCTCCTCCTTGGAGGAATCACTCTTTCCAAATTTTGATTCAATCCAGAATTTGGTAGCTGCAATCTACTGACCCCTAGGACACTTTCCTTCTTTTTTCAATGAGCTCAGTGCTTAACTCACAGTTTCCCTACCTCTCCTAATCCCTACCCCCATGAGACTTCGACATGTTGTTCAAATTCCCTCAATTTTCCCAAACTTCCTAGTTCCTCAATCTATTCACATTCTTGATCTTGTCTTCACCCACTAGTGTTCCACTTATATGTTAAAGAATTTCAAAATTCTTCCATTGGACCATAATCATTTATCATTCCCTCTCTCTTTTGACCTTACACTACTCCCAAAACTATTCTTCATTCTTACAATGACCTCTAGACCCTAAGACTCCTCAGTTCTTTCTCAGGCTATCACTTGGCTCTAGCTGCATTCTTTCCGCCAAAAATCTTAATGAACCAGTTCCACTTTATACTATCCTCAATTCTTGAATCCTTTGCTTCCTTGTCCTATCATCAATCAGACCTTGCCAAGTACCAGCTCTAGATTATTCCCAACATCTGCCTCTTTTATTCCTGTTCATGTGCTGTTGAACAGAGCTAGAGAAAGCAACTCCAATAACTAGATGCACTACCAATTTATGTTATTGAATCTCAACTGGACATTCACTGCAGCAAGGCAATTCTATTCCTTCCTAACCAATTCTCTATCACAGCAGTTGTTTCAAACTTTCTTCTCTCCTCACGAGGCCCACAATTCAGACTCCCTCATCCTCTTAGCTGAGGACCTCACCTCATGTTTTATAGAGAAAATCAAGACCATTCACCAAGACCTTCCCAAACTCATATTCACCTTATCTCAGATCTCTCTGACATTATTTCTCACTATCTTCTTTGCTCTCTCATAAAAAGGTGGCCCTTCTCCTTAATAAAGCCAACCCTTCTACATAAGTTCTTAATAACATCTATGATCCTTCCATTTTTTTCTCCCTATCTACTGGTTCCTTCCTTGCTGCCTACAGACATGCCCAAATCCTTGTCTTCCTTAAAAAAAAAACTTCCCTAGATCCTACCATCCCCTCTAATATGATCTTGTATCTCTCCTCTCTTTTATGATTAATCTTCTAAAAGAAAATCACACACATATACACATATATGGAACTGAGTCAAATTTGTAAGAATAAGAACCATTCCTCAGTTGATAAATAGTCAAACTGTGAAGAATAGGTAGTTTTCAAAGGAAGAAATTCAAGTTATCAATAGCTACATGAGAAAACACTCTAGGGGCAGCTAGGTGGCACAGTGGATAGAGCACTGGCCCTGAATTCAGGAGTACCTGAGTTCAAATCCACACATAACACTTACTAGCTGTGTGACCTTGGGCAAGTCACTTAACCCCATTGCCTGGCCAAAAAAAAAGAAAGAAAACACTCTAATAATTAGATGAATGCAAAATAAAACAACTCTGAGGTACCACCTCATATCCATCATTTTGGGGTGATCTAGACGAAATGATAAGAAGGAGTCCCAGTAAAGAATAGTCCCAGGAGAAGGCTATATTCTGTAATGGGATATGAAGACCTTAGAGTGCATCTGATTTACAGAGAGTTTGTACACAAGATCAATTCCTCTAAGAGATTTTTGTGCCTCCATGGGTGGCAACCTGCCTAAGGAGAAAGGAAATCAGAGCACCTGAAGGCACCTAGCATTAGAAGGATGTGGGAGAGCATAGACTCAGAGAGGAGATTGCATATCAAATGGAGAAAAACATATGGGGGAGGAATGGACAAGGAGTAAAATTGTACCACAGGATTTGGAATACAGGGTAATTTCTTCCATGGAGCAATTGTTTCTAACCTTATTACTTTCCTCAGGGAAGTGATACTTCTAAGAGGAAGACACAAGAGGAAAAAGAAGGGGATGAAGGTCCAAAATCTACAAGGTAATAAAATAAACTGGTTAGAAGAATGGATTCAGATTCAATACTTCAAAAGCTATAACCCCATGAGGAACACAATGATTAAATAAGGAATGAATAAGAATAAAGACCTAGAATCAAAAAACTTTTTTAAAAAGTAAGCTCCTCAAGAGCAAGGCTTGCCTCATTTTTGTCTTTGCATTATCAGAACCTGGCATAGTGCTTTGCCTGGCACATTGAAGCCACTTAAATGTGTGCTGACAGATTGACTGATTGATAGAAAACATGGTACAATGTGTTTGGTCACCTCTGTTCTTATCAATTCATTCTCATTCATTCAGAGGCATTATTGGTCAGCCTGTTGAGAGCTTACATCCTCCAGTTCTGGGATCATTATTTGCATTTCCATCTGAACAATTACAGTACTGGCTGAAATATTATTGTAATACAAGTTAAAATGTATGAAATCATGCAATAACAACAAAGTAAAATAATAACCTTTGCTTTCTTCCAAACATAAAAAGATATAATAGAATTTAAAATTACCTGTTTTAAGAGATTTGCAATAAGTATTCTATTTCTCTGTATAAGGAGCTGCCCTTTATCTCTTTTTTCCAAAAAATCTTTCATCATTTCCTGGTTAAATAAAAGAGGAAAAGGTGGGGACAGCAAAAGAAAATTTAATTTAAAGAACTTAACAGTATTTACAAGTGTTACTGTTTTTAGAGATTTTACTTGGACAGTGACTGTGACAAGTAGAAAGTGATTGATTTTTACTAATTAACCTACATATAGTAAGTTCTTAATAAATACTTGTCAATTGAGGGATTGACTGACTGATCCATTTTTAGATTGGGCAATATCTGGCATCATTTTAGGCTCTATTTTTTTTTCCAAAAAATTTGTTTAATTAATTTTTAAATTAAATTTATCGAGCTACCTTCCCATTGTTCACTGCACTTTTTTAAGATGAATATTTCTTTTGTGATATGAATTATATCACACTGTATTTACATAAGACTTCATAATTTTCAAGTTTCAAATATTTAAGTTCTTCTATATACCAAATCTATTTTAAGAAAAATTGAGGCTGCTTGTTGGCACAATGGATGGAGCACTGGATTTAGAGTCAGAAAGACCAGAGTTCAAATTTAACCTCACACATTTACCAGCTGTGTGACCCTGGGCAAGTCATTTAACCTCTGGTTGTATCAATTAACTCAACTGTAAAAAGTAGATAATGATAGCATCTCCCTCGTTCTAAGTTGCTTAGTGTTTAGGGCAGTATTTGACACATAGTAGCGCTGCATAAATAAGTGTTACCTAGCCTCAAAACCAGGAAAAGCCGATTTCAAGCTCCAGCTATTTTCCCTGGGCAAATAACAATGCACTGAGTAGAGAGGATCTGAGTAAGTTGGTGGGTGATCAGTATGACGAGTATAGAACCGATCTGACAGAAAAGATCTGTTCTGGGGAGGGGGAGTCATAAAGAAATGTGTTTGGAGATCAGTAGGAAGAAAGAAGGGGGGCTGTCAGTGGAAGACCACTTGGGAGAAACTGAGAGATTCTGAGGGAAATCAGCATAGGAGGTCTGAGGAAGGACTGAGCATCAATGAAAGACTGGAGTGGGAGTGAAGGGAGGAAGGAATGAGTCGGAGGGAGCTAGAGACCAATAGGGGAAATGAAGATCATTGTCAAGATGCTGGGGCGGGGGAAGACTGGAAGATAGGTTGGAGGAGCGGGGCCTGTAGGAGATCGGTTTGTAAGAACTGAGAGGTGAAAGAGGAGGCGGGTGGCGAAGGGGAAAGAGAGAATTCTCCGTGGCACATCAGTTCGAACACGATGCGGGGGGAAGCCAGCAACACCCCCCACGGCCGATACCTCCTCCAGGAAGATGTCTTCGTTCCAGTTGCCCATCCGCACGCAGGTTCGGTAGTTCTTTCGTGCCATCTCCGCCCTCCAACTGTTTCTACAATTGGTTTACTGGCCCCTCTGTTAGCGTTTCCCGTCGCCATGGAGACCTAGGATCCATGGGATTGGTCAGCATCAGCGGCATTGCTGACCAATGAATAAAAGATGCGGCCATTTCTCAAGCCATTTCTGGTTCTCCAATGGAGCCAGATAAGGAGAGGAGGGGCCAGACCCAGCGGCTTGGGAAAGCTGAAGCTGGTTTTACCGGGTGGGAAGAAATGAATTTGCCCACCTTCCTGGACTGCGTTTTGCAAAAACAGTCCAGCTGAGACCTTTCCCGGAGGTCAGCAGCTCGTTAATTGCAGGATTGCAGATTCTTATTTGCACTGCAACAACATAAGCAAATTTAGTAAATTAAAAAGGAAAAATAGAATAAGTAGTAATATTTGGAATCCCGTTAGAGGCTACAGCTTTAAGTTTAACAAAATTGAGTTGTTTTAAAACCCAAAGCAGGAAGGTTTTTCTTGAGTTTGGGGTATATATTGATTTAGGGTCTAGGGTTTTGTTGGGTTTGGGTTTGGGGGTGCGTTGTTTTTTGTTTTTTTCTTTTTGTCTTTTGGTTTGTTTTGGTTTGCTTCTAAAGTGTACTCTTATCTTGAGAGCACAAAGAAAAAAATGTGAACATACAGCTCCACTTTGTGGAGGAGTGAGGAAAATAGATTTTGTTTAAACGTTGAGCTGTTTTCATATCAGAACTGTATTTATAAGTCTTTATAAGATTCGGTTCCTTCCCCCAAAATTTCTCTGGCTTAAAACCAAAGGAACAATATATGTTTTGCAAGAGTTGGCATAATACATTGAATATCAAATATTTATTATGCTTATTATCCTTACTATTTAAAAATAGACATTTAAATTTTACTGTAGGTATCCTGTGTTCTGGATACCATATCTTTCACATATATATACCATATTGTTGTGTGTGTGTATGTATATGTATATACATATATACATACATATATCTATGTGCATATGTGAATAAATGTATAAAATGTTCTATTTTTGCTCTTTCATCATTTCTTATAGCACAAGGATATTTCATTACATTAGTGTACCATAATTTATCTAGCCATTCTCTAATAGGTGTGCATCCCTTTTCTTTCAAGTTTTTTTGGTCACCTCAAAAAAGAGCTGCTATAAATATTGTTTAGGGGTCCTTTTTCTCTTTCTTTGATCTCTTTGAGATGATCTTGCTTTTCCTCACACATGGCTACACCTCCAGGTGGACCCCAATGCCTGAGATGTCTTTCTTCATCAATTTTGCCTTTTAGAATCCCTAGCTTCCTTCAACGTCCAGCTCAATAATTATATCTTAGTGAAACCTTTCTTGATCCCTCTAGTTGCCAGGATTTTGAATTAACCAATCAATAAGCAGTTACTATGGGTCAGGAACTGTGCTAGGTGCTGAGTATAGAGACAAAAATGAAGTGAGACAATAATGATGGTTCAAATACAGGTTTGGAAATGGTGGCCCAAAGTAATATGGAGCCGTAATATACAATGGGTGGGTAACCCACCATTTGCTGGGTCAAAGACAATGTTCACAACGATTTTGGTTCTAATGTCTAATTTTAGTTCCAGACCTAAAACTTGGTTGCTACTGACCCATTTATTCTTGACCTTGAATGGTTGTTTCCCTTTTTATAATAATTATTCCCTAACAAGTTTTGCCACTTTTCCTACTTTTAATAGCTTTCCTTACTTTAAAAGAAGCAGGGAAAATAAAGATAGAAACTTTATTAATTCTTTCTTTAATTCTTTTGTATTAATTCTTTTGTATAGCACTTTGGAGTTTACAAAATGCTTCCATAAATATTAACTCATTTGGCCCTCATGGTTCTACTGGCAGGTTCTATTGTTCCCATTTTATGTATAAGGAAACTGAAGCTTAGAAGTTAAATCACTTGCCCAAAGACAAGGCTGGTATCAGAATTCAGATCTTCTGATTCCTAATCTGTATATATTTCCATGACACCCCTTTTCAAGGAACTTTACCATATCATATGTGAGCCTTATATCCAAGGCTGCTCGTCTAGAATTTATCTGTCCTGGACACTGGCCAAAAAACAAAACAAAACAATAATGAGATGCTTGATTGGCCATGGGTAGAGGAAGTAAGTATCTTTAAGTTCTTGGGAAATCAATTACTATGGACTTTGTATTTCTCCAATGCCTAGCACAGAACATTGCATAAGATCAATAGGTCAAAAATCTATGAGTGCATGGGGATTCCACACCACCAATGCAGATCCCAAACTGTTTCTCGCTCACAGTCATAAAGGGCTCCCTGAGGCTCAGACAGGTTATATGTGACTTGCCTATAGCCACACTGCTAGTGAGTATTAGAAGTAGGATTTGAATCAACCAATCAACAAGCAGTTACTATGGGTCAGAAACTATGATAGATGCTTAGTATAGAGACAAAAATGAAGTGAGACAAGAATGACGGCTCAGAGTAACATGGAGGCCTAGCTCTGGGAAAGGCGAAGGCTTACCTATCAAAGCTTAGAATCCCAGGAGAACTGGCAGCTAAGGGAATAAAGAAAGTTTTCACTAAGATATAGTCCTTGAGCTGGACTTTGAAGGAAGCTAGGGATTCTAAAAGGCAAAAGTGATGAAGAAAGACATCCCAGGCACCACCTGGGGTCCACCACTGCGAAGGCCTGGAGGTGGAACCATGTGTGAGGAATAGCAAGAAGGTCCGTACAGCTGGACTATACAATGCATAAAGAGGAGCAACATAGAATAATCCTGGAAGGGTAGGTTGGATCCAGATTGTGAAGAGTCTCAAATGCCCAACAGGAGATTTTATATTTGATTCTAGAAGTATTAGGCAGCCACCAGAGCTTATCAAGAAAGGGTGTGACATCATTAGATCAGTGTTTAGGAATGTTATTTTGACAGTTGGGTGGAAGATAGAGAAGAGAGAAGTGCTATTGCCTAATGTAATAGTCTTAAGTAAGAGATGATAAGGGTCTTAACAAGGCCTGGGTACCAGAGATATAAAGGCAAAATCTAGAAAACTTGGCAACTTTTAAAACTGATTTCAAAGCCAAAATTCTATCTAGCTATGTCACACCGTTTCTAATTGTACGCAGTAGGTACTTAATAAATGTTAACTGTTGTTGTTTTAGTTGCTTCTGTGAACTCAGCCACATTCTAAGTAGCCAGCAAAAAAAAAAAAAACCACAGAGTAGTCATTTGGTTTGAAAATTGTGCTGAGATAAGTACTCAAGATTTTTTTAGATTCAGATTTTGACCCCACCATCCTCTTGTGTTATCTGGAACAAGATACCTCACTTCCTAGTGCTTCAGTATCTCCATCTGGGAAATGCAGATAACATCAATTTCCCTCCTAGAAATTCAGAGGAGAATAATAACAGTGTATGTCTCTTTAAATACTGTTTTTTAACCATAGTAACTGCCCATGTGTTTTATAAATATTCATTTAGGAGAAAAACACCATCACAATTCAACTTTTTAACTCTTTACTGACAAATTTCTAGAAAGTTATTTATATTTAACTGTCACATAATCAACATCCTCATCTCTACCCACTCTGAACAATCTTACTTCTGTCTCCACTAGTCTGTTGAAAAAGACCTCTCCAGAGTGCCCAATGACCTCATAATTGCCATAGCTAATGGACTTCTTCCAGCCCTTATCCTTCTTGACCTCTCTGTACCATTGGACATTATAGAACAGTTCCTCCTTTTTTATTCTGTTTTTCTCATGACTTCTACTCCTCTTCCCTTTCCTAGTTCTACTTCTCTGATCACTCCAAAACCCACTCCTGACCACAATCCTATTTTTTTTTGCTGACTTCTTCTTGCCGTCCTGCTTGCTAAATGTAGGCATTTCCCAAGGTTCTGTATACATCTCTTTTCTCTTCTTTCTATCCTCTTTTCCTTAGTGATATCAGTCTTTTATTCCCACAGCATAAGGTCTCACCTCTACAAGGAAGAATTGCCAAATTACATATTTTAATCTGAGCTCTGTAGGCTCTTAATTGATGTGGGTTCACTTATTGACTGAACTTAGAAGTTCTGAGTCACAGTGGTCTAAGCTGATCAGGTGTCTGCACTCAGTCTGACACCATATAGTGAGCTCCCAGAATCAGGGAGCCAGCAGGTTGCCTAAGAAGGAGAGAACTGTCCCAGATTAGAAACAGAGCAAACCAAACTTTTCTTTTGGATCAATAGTAGGATTGAGCCTGTGAATGGCTTGCTCCACTTCCAGGCTAGACAAGATAGACCCAGTTTCAAAAACAAAATGAAACAAAAATTATTCATTCGAAGAGTAGACACAAATGTCTGTTAAATTTAGGTCAAGGATTACATCTGACTGAATACATTTTTTGAAGAGCTATCACATGAAAGAGGATTTAAATGAACCATTTGGGTGGTTCTAGAAGAGAACTAGCCTGGATAGAAGTTACAGGAGGACATATTTCAGATCCATTTAAAGAAGAATAAATATTTTTAACTAGAAGCCAGCTATAGAATCAATGGTCTTATTAGACATCTGCATTGAAAATAAAATAACGAAAGGAACCAGGGCAAATCAAATCACAGACAGAGGCAAAAATCACCTTGGGTTAAGTCAAAGGGATTTGAGCAGCTGGAATCAATAGAAAATAAGAACTTTTCTTAAATAAGAATATGTTTATTTAGCTTTTTTGTATGAAAACTATTAATAACACACAGAAGTTGGCAAACTCAAGAAACTGCTGCTTCCTCACACTTGATCTAGTAGATAGTTCTCAACCAAAGCAGATTCTTTGTGGGAGTCCATCCATATTGCTTCAGAGCCTTAAACATTAAATGGTTTCTTGATCAAAGATATATTTTTAAGCATTACACATAGCTGTTATCTGCACAGGCTGGATCTTATGTGCCAGATACATTGTTCCTCCAATGAAAATGTCATCTAGTTAGGCAATCATGAAGCAATGGAGGAAATTCTAATTATATTACCAAAAAAAAGTTGAAAACTTGGGGGAATTAAAAAA